TAAATGACAAAAATATAATGTTGTAAATGTAAATTTTAAAGCAATAAAAGGGAGTTAGGGAAATGGAAGAACAATGTTGCATGAAGCTATAGGACTGAAAGAAAGTTGCTCTAGAATTCAAACTTAAAACATAACCAACATTAAACACTAGCAAGTGGAAATTACTATTGCTTAATCACTTGAAAAGTGTCACAGGTGCTTAAGCAAACAGCATGAACTTTGGTTTTGAAAGCTAGCTTTAAAATTAAACCGAAAGGATTTGAACATTTGAGAGTTTTTGCTAACAAAAATATCTAGACTTAGAATGTTTAAGCTAAGAGAAAACAAATAGCTAAATAACACTAGAAAACAAGTAAATAAGTATGTAAGCATGTTCTCTTCAACAAAAGACCTTCCCCTATTAAGGGAGGAGGATTAGGCCCCAAGTAATTAGCCCAATTGTACATACTTGAGGTAAGCCCCGAGCCCGATATGAACCTATAGATATGGCCTAAGTCGACAAAAAGTGGAGCCTACACTTCGGTACTTCAGCATCATACAACTTTATTAGCCTATCAGTCTTCAGGTCCTACAAGATGACACAAGATCGACTCGAATATGCAAATCTGTTTTTAGGTCTAAATTAGCATCAAAGTCCAATAAAAAATTCTCAAATTCTATACTAAGCCCCAAGAGTGATAGAAGTGTAAAATAAGACCAAAATACTCGAATGTTTGGTTTGGGAAAATAAAATGGTAAAAGATGAGAAAATGGTGCTATAGGGCCAATAAATTGGCACCTATCAGTATCCTAATTTCAAACACATGAAAAACTTATCTTGTTTGCTTAACCTTGAATCTTGATTCATCACCTTAACTTCGCTACAACTCTTTGATTGTCTTACAGTTTCATGTGTGTTATATAAAATAAAAGACAAATGCCTATTTATAGTAAGATCGAAAGCACAAAGTGGCAAATTAAGATGAGTAGCCCTTGGTTGTTGGCACGCATCCAATCTCACAAAATTGTGAGAATGCCACATTCATATTCAATATATGTATGCATATTTTAGCTCTAATCATAACAAATTGTGAGATGTTTAACACTCGAAGTATGGGCATAATCTCCAAAACTTCAGCTCCAATATTCTCAAAATCTTTCCTTTTCTTCTCAGCTGTCAGTGTAGCAAGTTACCAAGAGTCAGTGGGAGATGAATGATGGAGAAGATTCCCAAGTTTTTCCAGATAAGAAGGTATAAGAGGATCAATAACTATGTAGAAGAAAATATGATGTAAGCTCAAAGAATGGTTGGTTGAGTAGTAAATGAGATCTTATAGTGTGTAGTAGATTCCCAATAAAATATGAAGAAGTTAATGAAAGATGAAAATATTTGAATTTCTTTTCCCTTCTGTTCTTGCTCTACTAAAATAAGATGTTCAGATTAAAAGTTCATGAAACATGCCAGACACAAAGGAATTAACTAAATTCATTGAACATGGAAAAGTTATTTGATCAACGACCAAACCATGACACATATTATAATTCATAAGAATAACAGATGGATCATGAAACAACAAATAACAATAACTACGAAATAAGAGTCAATACCAACTAAAAAATCAAAAACCTATAACAATAACTAATAGTAGTAATTATACATACAACATAAATAGTCAAGAAAACGACTAAAACAAATATAAATAGCCAATATAATCATTAAGTATATAAAAAATACCTAACAAAAACAGAATGCCATAGCAAGATCATGAGCTTAAAGGTTGAAGCGCAAAGTACTTGTCTGTTGTATTATTGAAGCAAAGTACTTTTATTTAACCTTGGTACCAGATAGAAATAGCAATTTTTGACCATGGTATCAAATAGAAAACTTGGTAAATCAATAGAAAATAGCGAAAATGAATGACTATTTAACTTTCTTTTCATCAGATTTCAAATGACAAACTATGCCCTGATGTCCAATATGGACAACAAGGACAAAATGGTAAAACATGGACGATTATGATGATCATGAATTTGTTGAGTAACACCAAAGTTTATCATTTAAGTAACGATGATGTACCGTTAAATGTCGCTCTTCATTTATAATTATAAATAAAATAATTATTGTTAACGTGATAAAGTTCAAATGAGTAACATAAATTGAGTGCAATCAATTAACGAGACCGAATGATTAAAGCGTTCGATTACTGATATCTTGTTTATATTTTAATGACATTATATTATTAGTTAGATAACTTTATACCTACTACAACTTAGATGTACAAAAGGAATGGTGAAAGTTTATGGTAGTTGAAACTTATCACCTATAAATAAACACGAGAATGATATGCTTCCATATATCACGTATTGAAGCACAAAATTATATACATGTCAAAATATCTTTATTTTGAGTTTTGAACACACATCTATGAGTTTATCCCACTTTTGATGAGTTTTGTGAATATTTGTGCTTTTGGGAATATTTGGGCTATGAAATCTTTAGAGAATGTTTTATTGGGTGTTTTGATACATTAAATGATATTTATTTCACAAAATGAGATTCCTTGGATGTTTGGATAATCTGAGAAAGAAAAAAAAATACTATTTTAACTCTTGAAAAATATATCTTAGGTTATTAATGATTTTATTGGTTTTGTGAAAAAAGTCAAAGGGATTATTGACCTTAGGTTGGGTTAAATGTGGTTTTGGGATTTCACGTAACTTATGAGCTTTCGATGGTGACATATTAGCCCCTTTGGCCATGAATGTACTGAGCATTGATAAATGCTTTCATTAGCTCTATGGGAATTTTGAAAGTATAAACCATGCTATTTGGACCTTTTGACTATTGTACTTCAACATAGAGATGGTTTATGGGCCTATTTATAAAATAAGTGTCGTGTATGTCTTAAATGTTTGGAAGACATACATTTTTGGCTTATGTGGTTTACATTATTTTATTTAAATAGTCAAGTCTTTTGTGGGGCTTATTGGCTTGATTTAACCCAAATGAGGTGTAGGGACATTTATAATAGATTTTATTAGCTCAAGGTGGAACTATGTATATAATTCATTAATTGCATATTGGTTGGATATTACAGGTTTTGAGTGCATTAATCATTCAACTGATGCCATATAAATTTAGATTGTAATGCACTACATAGGAGCCCATCATGTAAAGTTTGGAGTTTTGATGTCCACATTTAAGTCTAGTGAGTGGTCCCTAATTCATGGCTTGACATCTTACGGTGGTACATATTAGGTCGTATACGGAGCTAGTAGATTACGTGTTGGTCTTTTAAGTCATATACGGAGCTAGTTCTTGCGGTGGTGCTCGTTGGAACTGTGTATGGAGAACTTGACTTTTGTGGTGAAATTGATCTAGATGTCGAGTAGACACTAGGGTCATTATGGGAATCTTGCTGTGGTACTCAATCGAGGCGTATACGGTGATTCATGGCCTAATGTAAAAGTCGAGAACGTTGATAAATGGCTTACTTTTTTGTGTTGCCACCACATTTAATGAAATTTGGTCTCCCCTGTCACTGAAAGGTGTTGTTTTCCGGGTACTTCGTTACCTATGCTTTCGGTGTTACAAATATAGAGTTTCATCTATATGTTTGATGTTTTGAAGTATGCTCCTTGCACACATTTTGGGTGACTTGAATATTGGTTGTAAGTCTAAACGGGTATTTGATTTGGAAATTATGAGCTTTTGAAAGATGTTTCTTTTATGAATTATGTTTTAAATAAATGAGTCGTTATTTAAAGAAAACTGTCCGATTTAACCTATCGACATGTGTATCAGGTGTGAGTGAGATAGGAGAGGCATTTCGAGCTATGTAGAGGTTCTAGTAGGATGATTTTAGAAGCGTCATCTGATTATGAAGATAGCAAACTGGTGGTTTTAGTAACAAACGACTTGTTCTAATTATATTTAGGAATTAGATAGTCCCATTTAGAAATCTAATACATACCTTCTTCTCCTTCTTATGTAAACTATAAGTATTTTGCTATTAATGTTATTTTATTTTAAAGTTTTAAATTGTCTGTTATATCATAAATTTAGGGATGTTACAAACAATTCCTTTGTTTATGTACAACAAAGCAAGATTCAATTCACTCACGAGGATATCAGTGAAGCAACATTCTAAATAAGATCGTTGCATGGATTTAGAAACAACATCAGTGATTGTTGCTTATTGAGTTCAAAACGCCCATCCTACCCTGCTATGTATATATTCTAGGAAGAATATGGTTGATTTCTGTTGTCAGTATGACTCCCGTATACCAACGTCATCATGATAGGGGCATATGGGTTTAGCTTTGATAGTAGAGACCTTTTATTTAAGGTGGCGCCAATCTTCTTTACGATAATTCCAAAAAGAACGAGTATGATTTGTCTATGAGATTGATTGAGTTGGAGAGGCCACCAAGCTGGATTGATGACTGACTTACTATCTTCTCAAAGAACTTCGTTCAGTTGAGCTTGTAGAGACTAACTAGATGAAGGAGGTCATTTTGTCTAGCTTGAGCCTCAACTTCTCGTTTGATATTGTCCATCCTCTCAATCTTCAAGATGGCATGAAGAAAAGGGACTTCTTCTTGAAGTTCATGAAGAGAAGGTCTAGAAGACTCTGAAGGTTCAAAAAAAGGGAAGATAATCGACGGATTTGTTGTCATCAATGGCAGAAAAAAGTATCTGGCCTTGTGAAAAAGAGCTTATGAAATAACTATAGTCTTAACCATTGATGCAAAGGTGTCGTCTGCAACTCCATAAACATATACCGTTACTTTTTAAACAATAAAACAAAGGGTGTTATTATATCCATCATTATCATTTAGACAAAAAACAGATCAAATCATGCATTGAGAATTTAATAAAAACAGTAGTTGGTGTGTACCTGCAAATGAGTCAATAGTCCAGGGACTAGTTTTGCTATTTTACTCCTTTGTCTAGACCGTTCCAAGTCGCATGGTGGTAAAGAGTTTTATCTATCCCTTCGACCCCACCAAGAGTTTTACTCCAATACGTTTTCCTGCTACTTGCTATATTTGCTTAGAGCTCCTCGATCGAAGCTTGTTCTTGTTATCGCCGTCGACGGAGGTATCTTTCCATCTACAGTTTCCGCTAATCGACGTTTGAGTTGCAAATAAAATATAATGATCGATGATTGCTATCTTTGAAAAACGATTAAAAAAAGATCATCTGCGACAAACATCAAACATGTGGTCAATATTATATGATATCTGTTATTTTGTAACCTGGAATCATTATTTTCAATATTTTAACACTGCATCTCGTTTATCATGCTGGCCAGCACACAGATTTGTTGTATTAATTTGTGCTTCTTTCCTTTTGAGACTTGATAACTTGAAAGTATTTGATTATCTTTGATTTACAGTTACATATCTGAAATTATGGCGAAAGGGAAGATTGCGAAGGATGTTACAGAAGTAAGTTTGTATTTGTTTGTGGATCGTTTAACAACAATTTTTTTTAATCTTGAATGTATTAGTAAAGGGATCTTTGTTATACCTGTAGTTGATTGGTAACACTCCTTTGGTTTATCTCAACAATATTGTGGATGGTTGTGTTGGGCGTGTTGCAGCCAAACTGGAAATGATGGAACCCTGCTCTAGTGTTAAAGACAGGTGCTTACTAGAGGATTCTGTTGATTAATTTTCATCTGAGCACTTCCATTTTGTTTTTATATATATTTATATACTTCAAATCTAGCACTTGTCAGATTGATACTGATTGTTCACCAGTTTAATTGGTTGTACATATGATAGAGTTCAAGGTGATTTAATCTTCACAACAGTTATAGACTAACCTATTGAGCAATTACAAGAGATGTGTGGGTTCAAGGTGATTTAATCTTCACAACAGTTATAGACTAACCTATTGAGCAATTACAAGAGATGTGTGGAACGGACTATCCCTGATCCTGTGATTTGAAGTCAAATTGTAGCACTTTTTCTGTGTGCCCATCTGACGGAGTGCTATGTCTTAAGCATGTATTATGATTACGTCTGTTATTATATGCTTCTCATTTTATCCTAGTTGTGGTTTCGTCTGGTGTGCAGGATTGGTTATAGCATGATCTCAGATGCTGAGGCAAAGGGGATCATAACACCTGGAGAGGTTTGTTAGCTTTATTGATAGATTCTAAAAGAGCATCATGTGTTTTAAATTTTATGATACAAGGATATATGTTGATTATCAATGTTAATAAGAAGCGTTAAATGGAGCTAGGTGGTCGAGTGTAGTAGGGATTAAGTGGGCGCATAATAAATTTATCAAACACAATTATTCTTATATTATGTTAAGTAATCAGAAATAAAATTTCTGATGTTATATTATTTTGATACAGCTACTTGGTTGACCAGTTTCATTGTTTCATTAATGCAATTTTTCGAAAATGATTGAAAAGATTTCTGCCAAGAATTCAATTATTGGAAACAAGTTGAGATAAACCTACTAGTCCCTGCTTAAAAACTTGGAACTTTTACTTCAGCAAAAAGTTGCTGAATGGAACAATTGGGAGGTTTAACTCCTAGATGGCTGATTAAGCAGCCCTAACTAATTCAAACAGTAGGCAGACGCTTAAAGCCTAGCCTGCTGCTCAAGCAGCCATAAGCAAAGACTTCTAGATATTTCTGTGACCAGACATCGTATGAACATGGTTTAGCTTGCTTACAAGATATTGATGACCGTCCCTGTTCCAACTTCCAATCATAATCTTTATATGTGGGGCAGACTAGGGTTGCTTTGCTTGGCCATTTTGTTCCATTTTTGTTCTAAACATGTGTACAAACTCTCACAGCACGGAAATGGGAACACAGTGGAAATGAAACACAATGGGCCAAATAAATTGACTCTTGTTTTTTTGAGGATTGTGATTATTTGTTGCTCTTGTTTAAATCAGTCATTGGTCATGTATTTAAATTTTTTATTTCTGTTATAGCCTTTTATTGTTTCACCATTTTGGTGTAAATAGCTATGGTTGTTATGTAATGCAGTTTTATCATAGTAATTTCAAAAAAATGACTTTATCTGATGTGCTTTTGTTGTATTATTGCTGAAGAGTGTTCTTATTGAACCAACAAGTGGTAACACTGGCATTGGACTGGCCTTCATGGCTGCAGCAAAGGGTTACAAGCTTATCATCACCATGCCTGCATCCATGAGCATGGAGAGAAGAATTATTCTCCGTGCTTTTGGTGCTGAGTTGGTCCTTACAGATCCTGCCAAAGGAATGAAAGGTGCTGTTGCGAAGGCTGAAGAGATATTGGCTAAAACACCAAATGCTTACATTCTTCAGCAGTTTGAGAATCCTGCCAATCCAAAGGTTGGTCCCTTTAACTACTAATATTGTTGTCATAGTTGCGTTGCAATGCTAATTGTTATTATACTTCTTAGATCCATTATGAAACAACTGGACCAGAAATATGGAAAGATACAAATGGAACAATCGATGCCTTTGTTTCTGGCATTGGCACTGGTGGTACAATAACAGGTGCAGGAAAATATCTTAAAGAGCAAAATCCTAACATAAAGGTTAGATTGCTTTTACCTCTTCAGACCTAATTTGATGCATTGAGCATTGGCATTGCTATGCCTTCTATAGAACTACATTTGATGTTTCTCCGGTCTGTTCCATCAAATGCATGCATTTCTCCTTCCCTTCTTTTAAACTCTAATTATTTGATTTTGTCTCTTTGGCATCAGCTTTATGGCATTGAGCCTACTGAAAGTCCTATTTTATCTGGAGGAAAGCCTGGTAAGCTACATTGATGCTCTATTTCTTTTATCTATAATTTGTTTCTTTGCCTAAGAAGGATTACTATCTCATGCCTGAGAGTTTGTGGTTACGCGTGGATGCCAGAGTGCATTATCATTCCTAACCTCTGAAGAAACATTGTGCAAATGACCCAGTTGTTTTGGAACAGCTCCAAAGAGTTGCAGATAAAAAAAAGGTCATTTGTCCCAATGTGCTTGTGGAGGTCAGGTCCAACTAGAGAAGTTATTCCCCTCTAAACCACTTCTCTACACACTCCCAAATACTTCTCTGAAATTCTGCCAAGATTATGATCCAAAATTTCTTGTATCTCTATCATATATGATGTATCAGATGATGCTATCATCTTCTAGCTTTGACCAAATTATATTATTTAATATTTATTGTCAGATATTTAATACCTTGATACCTGTAATATGAACTAACCAACAAAGCCAACCAGAGCAGAGGTTATTAGTTATACACAGATGTGAACCTGAAGCTAATCATCATAGGTTACATGAATCTTAATAAAAAGTGGCAGTTTCTATGTCACTGGACTGATATATTCAAAGTCATTGTACTTCTTGTTTATGAAGATATTTGCCTTATTGTTCATGTTTGTCATGCCTAAGGTCCGCATAAGATCCAAGGCCTTGGTGCTGGCTTTATTCCTGGTGTTTTAGAAGTTGATATTATTGATGAAGTGGTTCAAGTAAGTCCTACCCCTCTCTCTTTCTCCATCTTTTTTGTAAAGATTGCTTCATGAGTTTTATCATTTTTCACAATTAAAAGTCAGGCATTTGATGTCCATCATTAATTTTCTTGATTAAACTGATGTTTACATGGATATTTCGTAAAGGTTTCAAGTGAGGAAGCCATTGAAACTGCAAAGCTTCTTGCTCTTAAAGAAGGATTACTCGTAAGTTAGAATTACTTACTTACTCTTCGTATGCATCTCTGAACTTGTTAAACTGCTTTACTTTGTAAGATTTCATATTACATTGTTCATTCATGCTGCTATTCATGACCAAGCTTATCTTCTAATTAAGATTATGATGTTGGTTGCATCTGTTGCAGGTGGGAATATCATCTGGTGCTGCAGCTGCAGCTGCCATCAACATTGCGAAGAGGCCAGAAAATGCTGGAAAGCTGATCGTTGTAAGTTTGCTCATTATTTTTTCTACTCAACTCGTTCTATATGTGGTCTTCATTGGTGTTGGGGCTGATTACTGTTTCATCAATTTGCCAAATCATTTCAAATATAGATAAACATGTTGATGCATAGAATTTACATTTACTTGTACATCATATCAATTACATTGTTTTTTTCTTCCAGTTCTAATGAAGTTAAATAAATATAAATAGTCAATTCAAGATGAGATGATGGAAGGAAGAATAGTTTAACCAAGAAAATGTTGATTACAACTGTCACTAATGATAGTTTGTTTAAGATCGGATGAGAATAATGTAATTGATATGATTGTGGAAGTAATTAAGTAATCGATAAATCTTTTTATTTGAGTTTATAATTAGAAAATGGCAAATTGCATTGAAATTTTACCAAATTTGGTTTATTCATATTGAGGAATTAACTTTCAAAACCATTATTTTGGAGAACCAATTTTCAGAACTTTTGGTTTAAGGGACCTGGTGACCAAATTCATGTTTTCCAAAATAAGAACGAAAGCAATCCAGTTTCATTTTGGTTCCTAGAATTGAGAAGTTTTGAAATTAGTTTTCCTAAATAAAGATCTTGGAAGTTGGTTATCCAAAGAAGGAATGAAGGCAAAGTTGGTTCCTTTTTTATGGAATTTGCTATTAAAAATATGAAAGTATGATGCCTTGTCTATATATAATTTACTCGTGTAAATCTGGAAAATGGATTCAAGCAAGCAAACTATGCAAAAGTAGTTGAAACAGTCTCCAAATTACTTAGCTAACTATTGAACATAAATTCAAGCAAATACAGGATAAACAATTCATTATCCGGTCAACGAGGGTCTTCAAAGCATACCATACCCTGCGTCGTAGCCATGTGTTTGACCCTGGACCCGCAATCTTACCACTTGTTGAATCACTAGCACCACTTCCTCCACTGTTGTTGAGAGTTTTTGAAAATCCGGAAGTTGTGCTCTTGCCATATGTAGGACACTGTCGCAGCAAGGGCCAACCTAGAACACTCCAAGCTGATTTGGAACCAGAAATAGCTTGTAGGCGTCCCAAATATTCTGAGTATTGTCTAGGTTAACCATCTCTGTCAGTTTGTACACATCTTACCTTCTGACCTTACATCGAGCTTCATTGGTTTAAAACATAGGATTTGTCAAGCTCGCCTTTTTGTTTAGTTTACACTTTTGAAAAACACAAACAAAATCATCTTCAAACTATACCTTGGATGTTGCATTTTCATTGGTGGTTATTTGGTGATGAGATTATATGTACAACTAAACTGCAGGTTATCTTCCCAAGTTTTGGGGAGCGCTACTTGTCTTCCGTTCTGTTCGAGTCAGTTCGACGAGAGGCAGAGAATATGACCTTCGAGCCTTGAACGAAAAGGATTTGGAAGAGGGATAGTTGATATGTTTCTTTGGATAGACGCCTTGCTCTGTTTTTGGTGCCGTTGTGTTGCAACATCTTTGATTTCTTAAGCATCAGCGAGTGATTTTTTTTTTGAACTTGTTTATGTACATTGGGACTAGAATTATTGATTTATCATGCTCATAGTTATGGAAGAGTATCCTGACATTGAGTTGAAAGTTTATTTCTTTTCGTTTTTGTGGATAACCATGGGTGTACGGGGCATCTTATGTCTTGTATGCATCTCGACTGATCCCATTGGACCTTGAAATTAATAGTCGCATAACCTTTGGTGGCCTTGAGGAGATTCGAAACAGTGAATGCCAAAAAAACCAAGGCCTTGCGGTTAAGCTTTTTGGAAGAGCATGCCAAAGTCCTTAGAGTCGATTTATTTTGGATAATAGTGGGTGCATGGGGCAAGTTGTGTGTGTCTCGACTAATATCATTAGACCGAAATTAACCGCACATTAACCTGGGATGAGCAAACCCATTGTCTTACTAGTTAAGCTACGTAAATAGAGTCGATTTATTTTGGATAATAGTGGGTGCATGGGGCAAGTTTTGTGTGTCTTGACTAATATCATTAGACCGAAATTAACAGCCCATTAACCTGGGATGAGCAAACCCATTGTCTTACTAGTTAAGCTACGTAAAGGGTTATTCTAGGCTTGAAAACTTGAAAGGCTGTATGTAAAATAAAATAAATTGGTTGTTTCTTTAAAACTGAAACAAATATGTGGCTTAAAATAATGGTAAATTTAAAAGTTTGATGTTGTCCCACATCGGGGATGAGAGGTGATGGGAGTTATCGAGGGGAGAATAAATAAAGGATGTGAAGGGGATAAGAAGGATTAATCCGTCCTGTCAGGGTGAGAGGCGACCCATCAATGATCGTATTGAGAGGGTGGGTCGTGCCGACGCCTAAGACAACGAACACAAATTTTAAAGGCGAGCGAGTCTGCTCTACTTTAGGTGGACTTGCCCGTCAATTTTTGGATGCCCTCCCATGGGCTCATCAAATTCATATTTCAATTGTTACAGCCTTACAGGATTGGATTCCCTTAATAAAAGAGATAATATTTTAATTGGTTTCCCAAATAAAATTAAACCATTTTATATTATGTACGTGTTTTTTTAGTTTTTTTCATATAATATTCTAGTGTTTATTTTGATTCATGATTATTATAAATAAAATTCAAATGTTTATTTTAATTGATAATTATTATAAATAAATTTAAATGTTTATCTTGGTTATCAATCCTATAATTAATATTTAGATTTTACCAAAAACTAATACTATTAAGGTATTAAAACATTGAAATTGATTTTATTTTTTTATTAAACGGATGTAAATAGTCCTAAGGTTTGTAGGGACTTGAGAAATCCATGTGATTTTTTCTACTACTTGAAAATCCAATAAATTGAGTGATTTCTTTTGCAAATTGAAATATTGATGAAGTATTATTAACAAAATGTAAACATATAAAAATCCAATATAGTTATGATACTGAAATTTCGTTAATGATTATAGACCATGATTCATTGTTTTAGAAAATCATATATTCTTCATTATTTATGACATCCTGAACTCGGAAGAACTTGAGTACCATAAGATAGGTTCGAGAAAAGACAGACAATATGTAAAACCCTACTATCTTGAAAATCAAGTGTAAGGTACAAGTAAATACTTTGATCTTTTTGAGACAACACATCAATCACAACTTTCATATAGAATATCGTTAGCTAGCCTACAAGAATAGCAGGACGCCCTAATCAGGAGTATTCATTACCATTGTGGGCTTGGGCCGGACCTAGGCCGTGCTTAACCTATTTTTTTGTCCAACGGGCCTAATACGGTGAAACCAAGCCCGCTTTTACGGGTTTGTAAAAAAGTACCCATACCCACCCTTTACACGGGCCGGGCTTTCCCACGGGCTTAAAAATCTTGTTTTGTTTTTATGAAAATAAAACTTATATAAAATCAAAAGCTATGTAAAATGATTCAAAATACATAACAATTTTTCCAACTTAAAATTTGACGTAAATACATAACAATATACATACTTTCGAAAGAAATTGTTTCGCTAAATATCAAGTATCTATAAAGAAAATGACTAAATGAGACAATAAAATTAATCAATTGAGGTAATTATATTTTCAAATTTAAGATTTTTAAAGTATGTTATTACCATGAGTCATAAATAAGTAGTTTTTAATAAGTATTTAGAACTTTCAGTTTTATTTATAAATTTTAATTATAAAAGTTAATTATTATAAAAATATTGATGGGCCTAACGGGCCTGCCCAAATATTTTTTTTTCTATTACCATGTCCACCCATTAATTTTAATAAGTCAGTTCAGGTTCGCCCATTTCTTCGAGAATGAGAATCTAAGCCCGCTTTTCTAGTGGGTCGGACAAGACGAGTCTAGTGGGTCATCTCGCATGTGAACAACTCTATCATACACCACTCAATTACAAGAAAGTGACTGATTTCAATAAAGAAATGTTATGTCTCAAAATGCATCTCAATCTTCATGGCAAAGAACTCACAAAAGATGACATGATTCATTATATTATTTCCACCATTAATATATCAATAAATATTAACGAACCAATATAAATTGGAATGTAACCTTTAGACAAACTCGTCAACTTACTGTAAGTGGTTGAGAGGCAAAAGACAACGTTCTTTCGAATAACAACACTAGACATGTTAGGACAAAGAAATTCCCAAAAACAATACTGAAAGCATTATAGGTGGAAATAACTCCAACCGATTATGAGTTAAAAACAATTTCACACATGTGTCATATATGCACCACGTGGACAAGACCCTCGAAAGGGTCAGGGTCATGGTAAGAGTCGGGAAGGATTTTTTAATACCTAGAGCAGATATACAACTATTGCCCCTGGAGATAATGAAAAGGTTGAAAATAAACATCGATACATGTGCAGTATCGGTGAATATTAGCTTTTTAAACTCTCTCTTATAAACTAGATCATTTTTTTATGTTGACTGATTATGGGATTATTTTGAAATTTCATTTGAAGTATCAAATTAATTGTATTTGCATATATACACCCGAAATTCTAACATTATACATGTGTACATAAATATATCAAAACAAATTCAAAACTCTGTGCAGGAATGTATCGAGGAGAACTTGAGTTTTTCTTTTAAGATCTCCCACAATTTAAAGGGATAGACTAATATTTATTTTTATAATTCATCCAACCAGAATTCTTAGACTATGTACTATCATTTTCTTGTTGGTACAAAATACTATTTTTCTTTTAATAGTCACTAAAATACTATTTTAATAGGAAAATTGTTAAGCTATTCGTATAAATCAGAAATCTTATTACGAGAATGGAAATGAGTATATGTACATCAGCTCTAATGAATATGAAAGGAGCATATGTTAGAGAAATAATGTGTCAGACTAGTAGATTATCTAGGTCAATGAATCATATTTTGTCACCAATAAAGAACTATGGGACAACGACACATATATGGTTTGATCATGTGGGACACCATGGTCATGACATAATTATTTGTGTGTTGTAAAATACACATAGACACATTCTCCTTCGAGTGAAAGGCAAAATGAGGCAATTAACCAAACTGCAACTATTGACTTCTGTAGTACAAGAAGCAACACCGTCATCATAATATGACATCTCGAATACCTAGAATTTTTGTAACCTTTGATCCTTAGCCAAGACAGGAATGAGACAATTCTAAAGCTAAGGACATAATATATGAATATCCCATTCTGAATACACATGATATTTATGGACATAAACATCTAAAATGTGAGCCATTAAAGCACTTTATGGTTCTGGTTCTGACATGATAAACGCAAATCGTATTATTTTCCACATTAAATTTTTCAATCCTGGCACTAGCTATACGTTTAAGGGCTCACCACATTGATTATCTCATCAAGTCTACATGACTTTGAATGCTGAAGAATTTACATCATAAGAATTTGATGATTATTACATATGTCTTGGGATCAATATAGAGTTTCCTATACCCTATGCATAAATATAAATTGGTCTTAATAGAAGTTGTCATCAAAAGAATATAGATGGTATCTATGGCATTGGTTATGCATAACCTACATATGCATGGGGTTATATAAATATTACATGTAGCGGTACTTATTCGTTTTTGGACCTACTACTAGCCAACCAATCTCATGTGCACCAGTTGGTAACTGGATATAAGTTTGATATTTTACATTTATGCATGTTTGGTTGTGTAGCATATGTGCCAATTGCGCCCCCATAGTGCACCAAAATAGGTCCTTAAAGACGATTCAATATATGTTGGATATGAATCCCTAACAATTATCAGCTAATTACCCTTGACGGGTGATCTCTTTACCGCTAAATTTACAGGTTGTCACTTTGATGAGACAGTCTTTCCGTCATTAGGGGGTGATAGAAAAAAGTATTTTTCATGGGGATGAAAGAAAGTGTCATAGAATATTCCCACTCTGTCTCATTTTTGATCCCCAAACAAGGGTACAACGTCGCTGGAAAAGTGCATTGTAATCACACATGGTGGAGGTGTGATTGAGGCCATGGCTGTAAAAAAAGAAATGAGGGAAGATACTTGTTTCAATAGATACTCATCTAAAGAAAGAGAATAGTAAGACACAACCATTTATCATCAATACATAAACATCTTATGAGATTATCTCTGATTATAACTACGCTATGAATCATTACTGGAGGAATCTACAAAGTCAATATTGATTCCAAAGATCAAAGAAATCTCAAATGAATTATGAGAATGAACATGAGTCGATAGAAAGATCATTACATACTAATTGATAATACATTCACATATTCTGTTGTTCATGAGATGATATAGCATGATGACATTGAACCATGCTCAGATGAAGAACGTCAATAAAGAGCAAATTGACATAAATGAAATGAAGCAATCCAGGAGAATTATATCATTTGACAAATGAATGGGTTTTTGGTCTAATAGTGCTAACCCACTAAGTTTAAATCCTGTAGGACATAGATAAATCATTGTCAGAAAGCGTAATAAGGTTAATTAAGTCATGATGTATAAGGCTCTCCTTTGGCGCAAGGTTTCTCACAACGTCATGGATTGACCACGAGAAGACTTACTCTCCCGTGATGGATGTTACAACATTCTGGTAACTAATTAGACTAGTA